TGAGGGACAGCGCCCAGGCCCCGAGTTCAGGCCCCACAACTGGCAAAAAAAAAAAAAAGTACTAAGTTTGGGGCTTTGAAAATATGTTTTCTGGAGGTTTCAGAGTAGAAGTAGTTGCCCAGGCTGGCTTTGGACTCTGCCTCCTGAGTAGCTAGGATTATAGGTGTGAGCCACTGGATCCCTGCTAGAAATGATATCTTTCTAAGAAAAAAAAGTATCCGACAGTGATACCATGAGTGGGTAGAAAAAGGAAAGATCTAAGACATTTCTGCTTATTTGTTTTTGAGACAATTCTATTCTGTAGCCCATACTTACCTCAAATTCACAATCCTCCTGCCTTAGCATCCTGAGTAATGTTATTATAGTAATGTCATTATGCCCCACTCAAGGCATATTAAGGCATGAGAGCCATTTTACACTTAACCCTAACTCTGATATATATATATTTTAATGTGTGTGTGTGTGTGTGTGTGTGTGTGTGTGTGGTTGCGCGTATGCCTGTTTTCAGGCTTGAACTCAGGACCCGGGCACTGGCCACTGTCGCTGAGCTATTATGCTACCATTTGAGCCATAGCCCCACTTCTAGCTTTTTTCTTAAAGTGCTTTATTGGAGATAACAGTCCTATGGACTTTTCAGCCTAGGCTTGCTTCAAACCAAGAGGCTCTCAGCCTCTTGAGTAGCTAGAATTACAGGCCTTCAGCTAACCCTAACCCTTAATTTTAACTAATCTTCAACCCCTAACCCTTACAGGGGAGGGTAGAATAGATTTTTCTTGGTAAGGTAGAAGTCCCTTATCAGAAGTTTTTTTTCTCAGAGTTTCTGGGAGGGAGGGGGTGGTCACAAGGGTAAGACAGCTATACTGTGAAGACTGAACTTGATGGAAGTCACTACAGTTATTTACCCTTTTCTGTACATGTGTATTGACAAGGTTATTTTCTGTTCATCTAACCCCTTCTTTCCATCCCTTACACCCATGTGTCTTCTCCAGGTGGCCAGGCATGGTAGAATCTGATCCTGACCTAGGAGAGTATTTTCTTTTTGCTTCTCATCTTGATTTCTTACCTGTAAGTTTTCTAGTTCAGACCAAAACAATCCATTCATCCTAACAGATGTTTATAGAGTTAGAAAAAAAATACTTAGCTAGGAAACACATGTGGAAAGACACTTCACTAGAGTGACAAATAATGGAGATAAATACCTACACAGAGAAAATTGTGTCTAAGTATTTTTACACTTGTAGCCACTTTAGGTTTTAATTAATATACTTTGGCTAGGATTCTTGAGGTCAGAGTAGAAGAACAGTAGATTAAATGGTATAGATAACTCAGGCTTCAGAAAGCAGATGAGGCCCAGCCCTTTCTTTGTGAGTCTCCCTATTCTCCCCCTGGTTAGAAGTGAAAAACAGGGAAGACAGGAATCAAAACAGGGAGAAGGATGGAATCAAAACAGGGTATCTTTTATTACAGTCAAAGTACCACGTGACATTTTTTGGAGACACAGTTTCTCGTGCTTGGATCCCAATCAATATGCTAAAGAACTTCCAGGAACTGCCGCTGGAGCTAATGGGAATGGTAAGACAACTTTGAGTATCTCATATAGACAACTGGAAAATGAAATCTTCCCTTTATTAGAGCTGTTCTGCTCTCAGAGGGAAACTGTTGGGAGAAAGTCCCATGTCTAATCAGGTATGCCAGGGGGAAGATTATTCATGAGGGCTTTTTCTTTCTACCAGGGTTGTATGGAATAATTTATATGTATGTGTACCACTTCTGGAACTTGAACTCAGAGCCTCATGCTCTTCCTTAGCTTTTTTACCCAAGGCTGGCGTTCTACTACTTGAGCCATGCCTCTAGTCCCAACTCTTTTGCTGGTTAATTAGGAGGTAAAAATCTCTTTGTCTGCTGGGTTGGCTTTGAACCATGATCCTCAGATCTTAGCCTCCTAAGTATGAGATTATAGTGTGGACTACAGTTGCTGCATGGTAATGCTTCTTCTTTTTCTTCTCTTCCCCTTCTCCCCCCACCCCAATTTCCTTTCTGAATTTGAGCCAACTCAGTAGCAGCAGGCATGAGGGCCCAGTTTAACTCAGGGTTTCTAAGTCTTAGCACTGTGGACATTTGGGTTTATTTGCACAGAGAAAAAACAAATCAAGCTGTCAGTAGTAAAACAAGCAGCTAGATTTAGAGAAACTTGTGAAAAGTTTAAGAATTTGGTTTTTTTTTCATATTCCTCTTAGGTTTGTTTTGGAGATTATACCAAAATGTTGGTTGAAAAAATTACTAGGAATTGAGGGAAGGGGAATACTAAAAGGTAATGTCATTGTCAGCACTAGGAACCAGAAGGAACTATCTTTTTTTTTCTTGTCAGTTGTGGGACTTGAACTTGGCCTGGGCACTGTCCCTGAGCTCTTCAGCTCAAGGCTAGCGCTCTACCACTTGAGTCATAGTGCCATTTCTCGTTTTCTGGTGGTTAGTTTGAGATAAGAATTCCATGGACATAGCCGGGCGCTGGTGGCTCACGCCTGTAATCCTAGCTACTCAGGAGGCTGAGATCTGAGGATCGCGGTTCAAAGCCAGCCCGGGCAGGAAAGACCATGAGACTCCTATCTCCAATAAACCACCAGAAAACCGGAAGTGGCGCTGTAGCTCAAGTGGTAGAGTGCTCGCCTTGAACTGAAGAGCTGAGGGACAGCGCCCAGGCCCAGAGTTCCGACGACCGACCAAAAAAAAAAAAAAAATTCTATGGACTTTTCTGACTGGGCTTGCTTTGAGCCATGATCCTCAGATCTCAGTCTCCTTAGTAGTTTGGATTACAGGCATGAGCCACTGGCACCCAGCTCAGAAGCAAATACCTTTATGATAATGTCTGGTGGGTGGTCATATGTTGGAGTCACTTTTCTAATATTGCTGATTAATCTTTTTTTTTTTTTTTGGGTCCAGTCGTGGGGCCTGGACTCTGGGCCTGGGCACTGTCCCTCAGCTCTTTAGCTCAAGGCTAGCACTCTACCACTTGAGCCACAGTGCCAATTCCGGCTTTTTTTTTCCTGCTTATGTGGTGCTGAGGAATTGAACCCAGGGCCTCAAGCATGCAAGGCAAGCGCTCTACCAGTGAGCCACCTTCCCAGCCCCTTGCTGATTAATCTTGAAGGCAGTATTTATCATTAACTCTGATCTTCCCCCTTGAAGGCAGTATTTATCATTAACTCTGATCTTCCCCTATTTCAGAAAAAGTACAAGAACAAGGATTACAGCCAGAAACTGGGGGCAGCCATAATGATGGCTCACAAGGCAGAACAAGTCAATGTTCAGGTACAAGAGTGTTCAGACCTCTTTCTTTTCTTTTCTTTTCTTTTCATCCTCCCTCCCTCCCTCCTTCCTGCTCTCCTTTCGTGCCTTTCTTATACTGTTTAAATGAACTCAGGGCCATACACTTACTTTGGTTGCTTGCTGGTTGCTGACCCTTTATCACTTAAACTGGTCATACAGCCTAGGTTTTTGGAAATAATAGTCCCAAAGGCTTTTCAAAGCCTGTCTGCCTTTGAACTTCGATCCTGCAGATTTCAGTTTCCTGAGTAGTGAGGATTATAGGCAATAGGCAAGTGTACTTAGCCAGACCATATTCTTGCACAAAACAAACTATTCTTTCCCACTGGAGGAAAGCCAGTTGTTTGTGTTCCCTTCCCTACTCTGCAGCTCATTTCCTTCCAGGCCAGATTCTTTTGACTCAAATAGTTTGTTCCTTCCCTTAACTTTAGATAAGTGGGGTTTGCTCTCAGCCCAGAGTGAAATAGTTTGTAATAGGGAGTATCCTGCCTCATAATTCACTTCATGTCTCAGAAATATGTACCCTAACTTCTCATATGTATGGAGTCAGGTCGTGTGTGTGTGTGTGTGTGTGTGTGTAACTGGAATTTGAACTCAGGGCCTTATACTTGTTAGGTAGGTATTTTATCACTTGAACCACACACCCACATGTTTCATACTTCATATTTTTTTGGCTAGAGTCTCTCATTTAACTTCCCAGGGCTGGCCCCAAACTGTGATCTTCCTACCTTTGCCTCCCATGTAGTTTGAATTATGGGCTACCATACTTGGCTAGGTGGTTCAAATAGGGTTTTGCTTGGGCTGGCCTCAAACCACAGTCTTCTGATTTCTATGTCCCAAGTAGGTGGGATTATAGATATATACCACTGTTCTGGGCAGTAGAGTCCGTTTTTACCTTCATATTGCTTTAGGAGGAAGTGAGGGTAGTGAGAATGACAAACTATGAATTCCTCTATCCTAGTTGCTTGCTCAATTATGAGTATATTGAAAAAAAGAGATTGTAGTTAATTTCTGTAAAAGTCCAGGGAAGGCAAATGAAATTTCAAAAGATACTTCAAGGCTGGGCACCGGTGACTCACGCCTGTAATCCTAGCTATTGAGGAGGCTGAGATCTGAGGATCACAGTTCAAAGTCAGCCTGGGCAGGAAAGTCTGTGAGACTGTTATCTCCAAAAAACCACTAGAAAACTGGAAGTGGTGCTGTGGCTCAAGCGGTAGAGCACTCACCTTGAGGTAAAGAGCTGAAGGACAGTGCCCAAGCCCAGAGTTCAAGCTCTATGACGAAAACAAAACAAAAAAAACCTTCAAATGAAAATGATGGAAAATGAATACAAGTATCGTCATACATGAAAATCTAGAAGACAGAGCAAATGTTGCCCCTGAGAGGATAGTGGATAATGCTTTTGTTTCTTGGTTTCCTCAGACTCGGGTTAACTTGTTTGGTTTCTGGAACCGATACGGTAGAACTGACAATAGTGGAGGAAAAAAAGGTAGGAGAAGTGAAGGGTGAGGGCAAGAGAGGGAGAGGGGAGTGTCCATGAAGGGTGCGGCCAAAGCTTTTCTTTATGTTCTGTGCCATCTCCCTCATTCTGGATTTCTGGCATAGGAGGTTTCTGTGAATGTGATCCATTATTAGGATGGATGGGCAGATGGGTGGGAGAAGAATGGGGACAAAGGAGGTAAGAAGAGAAGGCACATGAGAATAGGGATGGACTATTTATTTCTTTTTTGGCAGGTCCTGGGGCTTCAACTCATGGTCTGGGTGCTGTCCCTAAGCTTTTTGTGTTCAAGGCTAGTGCTCCATGGCTCCACTTAAAGATTTTTGGTGATTACTTGTAGATAAGTTTCACAGACTTTTCCTGCTTGGGTTGGCTTTGAATTACCATCCTCACATCTCAGCCTCCTGAGTAGCTACTAGAAATAGACTTTAGAAAGGGTGGAACTTGATGATCTGAGAAGACCTTTTATGGGAAAAATGTCACTAGTAGGCAGAGGCAGAGTGGAGACAGGGATCAACTCCATTAACTGGTCAACTATATTGTTTGATAACTTACATAGTTGCTCTTTCCTTTTTATATCTAGAAGTAATGCCATCTAAGGCTAACAATCCAGAGTCTGGCTTGAAGAAAAAGAAGAGAGAGAAAAAAGTAAGATGATTTTTTTAATTAAAAAAATTTTTTTTGCTTGTACTGGCCCTTGAATGCAGGAGTTCTTGCTTGGCTTTTTCATTCATGGCTAGCTCTTTACCATTTTAGCCACTCACACCTCTACTCACACCTCTACTTTGGGCTCTAAAGAGTTTGTTTGCCTGCCTGAGCTGCCTTCAAACCTCCATCCTCAAATAATTAGCCTCCTGAGTAGCTAGGATTATAGGGATGGGCTACCAGTACCTGGAAAGATTAATTTTTTGATATAAAGAATCTCATTTGGCCTGGTGCCGGTGGCTCATGCCTATAATCCTAGCTAATCAGGAGGCTGAGGTCTGAGGATTTCGGTTCAAAGCCAGCCCAGGCAGGAAAATCTGTGAGACTTATTTCCAGTTAATCACCAGAAAATGGGAATTGAGGCTGTGGCTCACGTGGTAGAGGGCTAGTGTTGAGCTGAAATGCTGAGGGACAGCGCTGAGGCCCAGGGTTCAAGCCCCACAATTGACCAACAAAAAAAAAATTCTCATTTGTTTATCTTTGGTACTGGGGTTTAAACTCTGGATCTTGTGCTTGCTGCACTGACATTCTACCACTTGAGCCATGTTTTCAACCCTTTCATCCATTATTCTTTAGCACCTTCTCTATTAGGAAGGGTTATATGCCAGGTATTGGTGGCTCATGCTTATAATCTTAACTGTTCAGGAGGCTGAAATCTGAGGATCACAGTTTGAAGGCAGCTGAAAGTCCATGAGACTCTTATCTCCAATTAAGCACCAAAGACCAGAAATAGGAGTGTGGCTCAAGTAGTAGAGTCCTAGCCTTAAGGGGAAAAAGTTCAATGACAATGCTAAAGCCTGAGTTTAAGCCCCAGTACTGGGTGAAGGGAGAACCAGTTATGTGCCTCAGTTAGTCTTTTTTTCAGTGGTACTGAGCATTGAACTCAGGGCCTGCCATTTGGTAGGTAAGTACCTACCTCTTGGGCTAGAGTTTTGCTTTTAGTAGTTTTTTTTTTTTTTTTTTTTTGCCGGTCATGGGGCCTGAACTCTGGGTCTGGGCGCTGTCCCTCAGCTCTTCAGCTCACGGCTAGCGCTCTACCACTGGAGCCACAGCACCACTTTCGGCTTTTTCTGTTTATGTGGTGTTGAGGAATCAAACCCAGGGCCTCATGCTTGCAAGGCATGCACTCTACCACTGAGCTACCTTCCCAGCCCCTTGCTTTTAGTTTTTCAGATAGACTCTCAAGCTAGCTTTGCTTAGGCTAGCCTCATATCAAGATCCTTCTACTTTCACATTCCCAGCTCTGTGTGTGTGTGTGTGTGTGTGCGCGCGCGCGCGTGCGTGCACGTACCAGTGCCAGTTCTATGGCTTGTACTCAGGGTCTGGGTGCTGCCTCCGTGCTTTCCTTTTTCTTTTCTTTTCTTTTTTTTTTTTTCAGTCATGGGGCTTGAACTCTGGGCTTGCGCTCTGTACCTCAGCTATTCAGCTCAAGGCTAATGCTCTACCACTTGAGCCACAGCGCCACTTCCAGTTTTCTGAGTGGTTTATTGGAAATAAAACTCTCAGGGAGTTACTTGCCTAGGCTGGCTTTGAACTGTGATCCTCAGATCTCAACGTCTTGAGTAGCTAGGATTACAGGCATGAGCCACCAGTGCCCAAGCCTCCAAGCTTTTTTGTCCAAAGCTAGTGCTCTACCACTTGAGCCAAAGCTGTACTTCTGGCTTGTTGCTGGTTAATTGAAAGGAAGTCTCACAGGCTTTCCTGCCCTGAGTAGCTAGGATTACAGAACTGAGCCGCTGGAGCCTGGCTCAATGCTTAGCTTTAATTTTGTCTTTTTCCTATTTTCTGTTCCACCTGTAGAATCCAACTTTGCCTGGTCCCAAGTCAGGCAACAAGCAGACCAAAAAAGCCAAGCCTACAGGTAAGCAATCTAGCTAGAAGTAGGTCCCACAGTTAAGGAAGGGCAGAAGCAGAGAGTGTGAGGGGAGCTGACTGACTCACTTCCAGGACCCGAGAAAGCAGGCAAGAACAGCTGATGGACACAGGAAGGAAGTTAGAGCCTCCTCATGTGCATGCTTTCTAAAATCTTATGTTCAATGTGGGAGAGGGAGTTTCAATTTTTAGTGAAGAAGGATGACTTCCTAAAGAAAGTAGACTCTGAGGAGAATCACAAAGAAAAGAGGGTCCAGTGTGGGGGAAAATGTCAAGAAGGTTGGGAAACTGGAAGCCATTCACAGAACAGACCAGATTGAGAATGAGCAGAAGTTGGAGTAGGGCAGAGATTAGATGTGAGGAAAACATTTGCCCTTGGCAAGCTGTTAATTGGAAATAAATTGCCTTCATATTTGGGGTGGGGTGGTATAGGCATGGCAGATGAACAAGACAGGCCCCTGAAAAAGAGAATGAAGAGGAGATCTCTGGGCAGTGAATCTGTAGATGCCTCTGCACCCATCTTTGAGAAGGAAGAAGAGCCAAAGAATACAGATGAGCCAGGTGAGGCTTAGGGTGGAAAGAACTTGGGGAAATGAAATTCATGTTTGCATCTTCTCCCTTTCCCAATCATTTCTGAACAATTCCACAGCTAAGAAGGAATGAAATACAGAATGAAAGAGCAAGTCTCATGTTGTATCCAGCACACACTGTAGACAATGGTTATTGATCAGACTGATTCCAGGGCTGGCAGAACCGTAGGGGGAAGAAAGTGTTTAGGTATTGCCAAGGGCGGGCTGGCGACACGGGTGCTTCTGTGTTTATTCCTTCTAATTCTTCCCAGAGCTCTCTGACTCTAGATATTTGACTTTATAACTGTAAGGAAACAAGGCTCTCAAAAGTTTAAAATTTGTTGAAGACCTTTATTTAGCATATGAGTGATCCATAGCTGGAATCCAAACCTCTTTCTTTGTACTAGAAAAGGTAGTTTTTACCACAGGTTTTGTCCTGTTTAGTTTTGTCTTGACACAGGACTTTGTGAATTTGACTTGTAAGAAGTCAGGAAGGTCAGGTGGCAGTGGCTCATATCTGTAATCCTATTACTTAGGATGCTGAGATGTGAGGAACATGGTTCAAAGGCATCCTGGGCAGGAAAAGTCTGTGTGAGACTGTTACCTCCAGTTAATAACAAAAAGCCAGAAATGGAGCTGAGGCTCAAGTGATAGAGTGCTAGCCTTGAGCAAAAGAACTCAGGGTCAGTGCCCAGGCTTTCAGTTCAAGCCCTAGTACTGGCATGTGTGCGTGCGTGCATGCGTGTGTTTGTGTATGCGCGTGTACATACACAAACAAAAAAAATTGAAGATGCACTGACTGTCACCTTTGTTCCCTTTTCATTTAGGCTGTAAGACAAATTTTCAAGCTCCCCAAAGCAAGGCCTCAGCACCCAGATTGTCTAAGGAAAAAGAAGTCAGAATGGTGCCCCAGGGCCAGGCCCCACCAGCTTGTCACGGGCCTGGTTTCTTGTTGGGGAAAGCTTGGCCTTCACACCCGGAGCTTCTAGCTAAGGAGGTTATTCATGTCCCGGCTGAGGAAGGAGAGTCCAGTGACTTGGACTTTGAGCAACTCATGGAAGACATTGGGAGAGATGCAGAGGAGCGAGGGGAGCCGCAACACGGAGATAGCACAGAGGACTTCCCCATGGCCCTCTTTGAATAGTGCTGTGCTCCCACCCTGCTCCTGTTCTCTGGAGCTGCTGGGAGAGCCTCAGAGCCATGTCCTTGATCAGCTATTGAATGTTGGGAGTTGTTGGTTTGATACTAAGTTCTTGGAAGAGTTGTGCAATTATTATGTTAATAAAGCAGGTTTGGTTAGGTTTATGTGTAACCATGTGCTCCCATTCAGCTTCTTTTCCCTCCTCTCTGTGGCACTGTGGCATATCACATGTGGCAGGAGGCTGTCCAGTGTGGGAACCTGGGAAGGAAACTGAGACCTGATTCTTGGGGAAAACTCCAGAAGGGCAGATCTGGGTTCTCATTGTGGCTCAGCTCCTTCCTAGCTGGCGCTAAGGCCTTGAGAAAGCCATCTACCTGGCTCTTCTTTCCCAGACTCTTGGGCTCATCATCTCCCTGTAGTGGTGGTTGCTCCATTAAAGGTTTTCCATGCAAACAGTCCCCATGGATGCCAGTTATACAGAGGGAATGATGATGGGTAGATTCAGAAGCAGACCCTGGGTTCTGGCTACCAGGATCCAACATTTGTATTTCCCTCACCTGAGGATCATGGAAGAAAGGCATTTGTAGAGATTTCTTGGGTGTTGCTTATCTAGGTGAGTTGATTTTCTTTTAAAATAACCTTTATTTAGCCAGGTGCGGGTGGCTCATGCCTGTAATCCTAGCTACTCAGGAGGCTGAGATCTGAGAATCACGGTTCAAAGCCAATCCGGGCAGGAAAGTCTGTGAGACTCTTATCTCCAGTAAAACACTAGAAAACTGGAAGTGGTGCTGTAGCTCAAGTGGTAGAGTGCTTGCCCTGAGCTGAAGAGTGTAAGGACAGTGCCCAAGCCCAGAGTTCAAGCCCCATGACTGAAAAAACAAACAAAACCCCCAAAAACCTTTATTTAGCATGTGCATTACAGAAAACATATAAGCAAAGAACCAAGTATTACTCCCACAAGCAGTTCAGTTGTATATGACTAGATCTTCCATGGAACACATAATAATCCCTTTTAGGTAACTGACATCATATGGTATGTATCATCCTTTCCCAAAAGTTATGAATTCAACAATGCTGTTCATTTTTAGTAAGAGGAACAGAAATAGAAGGTCCTGCCCATTTTTCTCTTAGAGAAGTCATTTGGGTGTTCTGAGGGTATTTTATTTGGGCAGACAAGGATTAAGAAATTGAAGTGGAAAGTGGATCAAATGGTTATTTCATTTCCTATGTGGCCTTCAAACTCTCTGACTTGTGAGTTGTCTGCCTCTGGCCTTGATCATTGGGAGCTGTGAATTTTGCTATTGAAAGTGGCTAAGGATCACTCATTTGGTCTTTAGAACAGTACAGGGTCATTTCCTCCTAGGTGTTTCCATGGAGAGGAGGGCCAGAAGGCATTCTCGGTGAGGAGTTGGAGAGGGTGAGGATGGCATAGACAGTGCTCTCATTCTGGGTGAGCACCAAAAAGTTAGACAGGAGACAGAACTGCCCCTGACTTAAAGTAGCAGCCTATATCCCAAGTGCCCTGCCCCCACCCAGCTCCCCATCCTTCCACCCCACCTCCTCTCATCTCCTTTCTTTTATGCCTCAGAGCTTGGGAAACTGTTGGAGCTCTGTATGTTGTCCTAGAGAGAAAAACATGAGAGAGTATTGAGGTGTGACAAGGGGGTACACAGATGGCAAGGGATGCCAGAGAGGTGGCAGCTGCCAGATTAAAGCCAGAGTCACATGGGTGGGGTGAGGTGAAGAATGGGAGAGAGAAAAGGACTGAAAGGGGACTGTATGCATATGTAGATAGAGGTGTTTGGAGAAAAATGAAGGGCCAAGGGTAGCAATGGGGGAAAGATGATATAAGGTTTACTTTTATAGCCAGTATCTTCTTATTTCTCCTCAGTGTTTTGAGAGACTTCCCTGCAGGGGAACAGGAGGATGGGAAGGATATTAGAGGCTAATCATGAGTGGGTTCAGACAGGGCTGATTCTCTTTGAGGGGGTATCTGCCACCTGCCCTGACACATTCAGCGTGAATATGATGATTTTCAGTACAAGGCTGCCTGGAAGGTGAATAGTGAGAAGCCCTTGACAGCATGGCCTGGAATTTTGCCTCAGCACTAATCAAAGGTAGGTTGCTTTATGAAAACTGTGGTAGTTTTGGGGCACATGGGAAAAATGTGAAGTGCCAACCCTGTTAGTCTCTAGATGCACTGCTTCTGCCCAAACTGGGAGAAACATACATGTACACAGACACACAGACACAGACACAGACACACAGACACACACACAAACACACACACAGACACACACACACACACGACTTAGTTTTAGGTCCTTTGAGCAGGTTGCACAGATTGGATCCCTGGAAGGAGACTACAAGAAGGGCTAATAGCCAAAGAAGGCACAAAGGGAGGGAGAGGAAGGATGGAGGGAGACTTTGAATAGGAAAAGTATGATGATTTTTTTGTGTGTATGTGCCAGTTTTTGGTATTGAAGTTAGGACCTGTGTCCTTGTTTGTGTTTTTCAGATTTCCAGTAGAGAAGACTATATATCTGACTTGCTGTTCTAATTGACACTTTACCATGTGAGCCACACTTGTATTTATGGCTTTTGGCTGGTTAATTAGAGATAAGAGTCTCTTAGAAGTTTGGTGCTGGTGGCTCAGACCTATAATCCTAGCTACTTAGGAGGCTCAGATCTGAGGCTCAAGGTTCAAAGACAGCACAGTCAGGAAAGTCTGTTGGATTCCTATCTCTAATCAACCACAAGAAAACTGGAAGTGGCAATTTGGCTCAAAGTGATGAGAGTTAGACTTGATCCAAAAGAGCTCAGGGACAGGGCCCATGTCCTAAGGTCAAGCCCCAGACTGATAAAAAAAAAATTCTCTTCAATTTGTGTACCTGGGTTGGCTTTGAACCATGATCCTCAGATCTCAGCCTTTTGAGTAGCTAGGATTACAGTACCTGACAAAGAATGGTAATAAGAAAGGGGAGGAGGAATGGAAGGAGAGAGGGGAGAAAAGGAGAGTATGAATAGGAAAGGGAGATGGAAGAGCTGAAGCAGAGGATGCCTAGGACAGTTTGTGGCACATTCAGCAGGGGAAAGGATGGACTTGACAGAAAAAAGTACACAAGAATATCAGTGGGGAGGCTGGGAAGGTGGCTCAGTGGTAGAGCGCTTGCCTTGCATGCATGAGGCCCTGAGTTCGATTCCTTAGCACCACATAAGCAGAAAAAATAAAAGCTGGAAGTGGCGCTGTGGCTTAAGTAGTAGAGCGCTAGCCTTGAGCTGAAAAGTTGAGGGACAGTGCCCAGGCCCAGAGTTTAGGCCCACAACCGGATCCAAAAAAAAAAAAAGAATATGAGTGGGTTGGAGATGTGGCTCAAGTGGTAGAGCATGTGCTTATCAAGCTCAAGTCCCTGAGTTCAAACACCTGGTGCAGTCTCCTCTCTAAAGAATCCACACCAAACAATAAAAAGACAAAGAGAGTAAGAGGCACCAAGGAAGATGGTTATGGCTGAGAGAACAGATAAACAGAAATTCAGAGAGAGTTGAGCAAGAATGAGGAGCCAGAGAGAATGACTTCTGGTAAAGAAGAGTGTCTGCTGACCTTATTATTAGGAGATGGGGCCTGCAGGGTGAGGAGACTGGAGCAGTAGGGTACAAGGCTGGAAGCAGACTAGGTGAGTCATGAGCCTCTGAGAAAGACCCCTGTGTGTTTTTCCTAGCTAATTGACTAACAGATGTAATTTCATAGTTATTATTTGCTATAAATATACAGATTCATATTCATTTTCTGGAAAAGACCCATAAACCTCAACAGGAAAACAGTTGTACATAAAAATGTCCAAAGCAAATGTAAAATACTTTTCAATAATCCACAACTGTTAATGTTATTTTTCACTTACCTTATGTTACTTCATTGACTATCTGGCAGAGGTTTTCTCCATAAAAAACAAGTGGGAGATATCTGTCTGCTGTAAATACAACATAGGGTAAAAACTCTTTAAAATGTTTTATTCATTTATATGGATGTCATTGAGAAAAATTGTTGCTAATATGTCATTTAAAAAAATTTCTATCCCTATTTAATATTAAAAGATTTCCTTCCCTTGGCACTGTGGCTCAAGTGGTAGAGGGCTAGCCTTGAGCTGAAGAGCTGAGGGATAGCGCCCAGGTC